TAAGAATGATCTCATAATGCTTCCATAAAAATTTCAAGATGATATCATGAAAACTTTCTGAGAAACAAACAATTTCATTACTGGACCTCGTGGAGCGGCTGGAGAGTTTAAAAAATGACATAGAAAGTTGGTAAACACTGTGTGCAGAGGTGAATGTATGCTGTAGGGGGCTGCGTTCTCAAAATAACTTTTTTGCAACACTAAAATTTGTAGTTCATGTTTTCTCCACTGATACTTAAATGAGCACATTTGCACTACAAACAAGAAACCCTACCAAACATTTTTAAAAGGCTAAATTTTAAAAATAAGAACGCAGCCCCATGAAGCACAGTTCAAGGAGCATTACAAAAAAAAAAAAAAAAAAATCAAAATCTGTCAAGTAGTTGCGAAGATATCTGCTCCACGAGCTGAGCAACATGCCAAAAAAACAGCATTGAGAAAACGAGGTTCAAAGTCATGAGTCACGGTTTACATGCCTAATAGGCACCAGGGTTGTAGTCCTTAGTGTCCTTTGCAGTGCGGTGTCATCCACGTCCCGTCGTACACCACCGTGACATTCTTGGGGGGTGTTCCCTCCATTTGGCTGTACACATTGCGAACGGCTGCAACAGCGTCTCAAAACACACGTGCCGCGGCTGCTGCGCCAGCAGGCCGAAATTCCCCCTTGAGATGCCTTTGAAAAGTCTTGTGGTGAATTCCCCTATGTGATACATTCATCACAGACCAAAAATCACTGAGTGCAGCTGATCCCTTTCCAATAGTTTCTATAGCTTGCATGGCCCGAATATTTACTTCAAATGACTTACTGTTTTCCATTCGCGGCGACGACCACGCATTTTTCGCGTCCGCGCCGCAAGCAGTGCAGGTGAGCACTATCTTTACCGCTAACCCGTGCTTAGTTCCGTGCTTCATCTTGAGTCCCGGCTCTTTGCACTGCGGGCACAGAGCACTGCCAAACAGACCATTCAGGGCCGCGCATTGCACGAGGAAAAACTCATCCTCGTCTTCCGTTTAGATGTCGCTCTCGTCCCCTTGGTCCATCAGTGACATCTTGCGCTCCGTTGCAGACACTGCTCTTAGGGACTCCTGAACAGCCGCGGCGCGTTCGCGAGATGCCTCCGCTGACACGAAACGAGGCTCTAATCGGGCCCGAATCGTGCTACTGGTGGTGCTGGTAGACGGCCTCGCATCCTCGCGCGAAGTACTTGGCTGAGCATCCGCGATGTCTACATCCTCGCGCGTAGTGCTAGGCTGGGCATCCACGATGTCTGCAGCCTGCGCGGAACGACGAACGGATGTTTTCTCAGACAGCACAAAGCACTGCTCCACAGGCATATGAACAGTTTCGTTGATGCTCGCGGACGATGCTCTGTGCGTGCTTGTGCTCGGCTGCGAGTCCTCGTCATGCCGCACGCCGTCGTCGCTGCTCGCAGAAGTTGCCGGACTGAATTTCTTTTTCACGATCGGCGGCTTCGGCTTACGAGCACCAAATCGCTGCGCAGTCTTGCGTTTCTTCTTGAACGATCGCCGGTCCATGATCGCGTGCGGGAACCGATCTCAAAACTGCAATGTGCCAAACTGGATAACAACGTTTTTCTCCTTTCAGGAGCGCCGGTCTTATCGCAGCGCGATGCAATCTCGAAACCACGCCGCGACGAGTTGAAAACAAATGCATTAAGCGGCCCGTCAGCGCGTAGAGCAGACGACCTTTGCGCCGATTGCTACAAGCGACCGCACGAAACCACGCCGCGACGAGTTGAAAACAAATGCAATAAGCGGCCCGTCAGCGCCTAGAGCAGACGAACTTGGCGCCGATTGCTACAAGCGACCGCACGGGCGACCAATGCGGAGCCGCCGCACAGTCACGTGACACGCGTCGCCAATCGGAAACTGTTGTGATACTTTTACACTTTGGTTTGCTGTGGGCTTGCTCTTGCCTGGTTCAGCCACCCGAGGCGGCAAATTTGAAACGGAAGAATCGCGCTATCCATAGAGACAAAGATGGCGGCGCTAGGTTGCGGAGATATCGCGGTTCGAAAAATGCCGTTTCTTTCGCAATTTCTGTGAAATTCATCGCCACCCTAGCTTCGATAAAAATTTTTTACGTCATTTCTACGTTGTTTTAAGGGACGAAACTTCGAAATTAGATAGAAAAGGGGTCACAGAATGTGAAAATGAGATTTTCAGAAAATCGCTTTTTTGGCCAAATTTCGCGATGCCAAAGCCGCGTCCCCCCTTCAAGGAAGTGCATCAGGCGCCTGTTAATGATTTTTTCAAAGACACTTGCAAATACAACTGGTTAATGTTATTGGCCTGTAGCTAGAAACTGAGGCCGGGTCCTTGCCTTGTTTTAGAATTGGGATAATGATAGCTTCCTTCCAGGCTGAGGGTAGCTCGCCGGAAGACCATATCCCATTATACAGAGAGAGGAGAGCTTTCTAGGTTTCAGTGGGCAGGTGTTTTAAGGGGGGAGGTGGCATTGAAAAAAAAAACTTTTTTATTTGTTGACCTACAGCAATGAAATTTGGCATGCATACTCATAAGTGTCTCTAATAGGGAAATATGCAGTTTCATCATGATAGCTTCAGTAGTTATCCAGTTACATAATGCTACACGATCCAATTACATGGTCTGCTCGTGGAAAGCCTAGCGCTGCAACAAAACATGCCAGAAAGCTGCGAATCGTATTGATCTTTACTCAAAAGAAAGCTACAGGGTATGGCACTCTCAGAATTTTTTAATAAGTTCTCTCTTTTTTTTTTTTAGAGATCATCATGGCTGCCGACACACATTGTCAGAAACAGTGGCACGGACAAATCATCGTCTAGAAAAATAACAGGGCCATAAAACAGAAATTGAAGATTGCTGTACCCACAAGCAATGTTCAGGGATTCAGGGAAAAAAAAAAAAAAAAAAACAATCAAAATCGGTCCAGTCATTTCCGTGCTACTCTTTCCACGAGCAATGCACGATGTCCAAAACACACTTGTGAGAAAAAGCCTGTCGAAGTTTTCGACAGGCTTTATTCAATGAACTTTTTTGTTTCTCGTTGGATATTGATGAAAATTGGCACAGACACTAAGAATGACCTCACAGTGCTTCCATAAAAATTTTGAATACTTTACGAGAAACAAATTATTTCTTCATTGAACCATGTGAAGGGGCTGAGCATAATGTCAAAAAAAAAAAAAAAAAAAAAAAAAAAACAGTGTTGAGAAAGCTGCGTTTAAAGCTTCAACTTTTCTTTACGTCTCTAAGACACCCAAAAATTGTGATCTCAGGTTTGTCTTGTGATATTTGACTTTTCATGATTTACTCCTTTTCATGATTTACAAAGAACAAGTATGGATTTTAAATCAAGTTTTTTGTATGAAGGAGTGGTGTGTGTGATAGGTATGACAGAAAAGATTGTAATTGAATAAAACCTTATACTGAAATTATTACACATACATTTTTGTGCTGAAGTTGTAATTAGCATAATTAAGTACTTGATTACAAATATTCACCAACCTTTTATTTATTTCAAGAGAGGTTTATTGCATCAGAAAAATGGATCACACCATGACGGCCTATGCCTTCTTTCTAAATAACAAAGTTATAGGCAGAAGACTGGTGGCACGGGAATTTCTAGCAGTATATTTAATTACACGAAACGGGCATATGAAAATTCGTGCTCCTGATTTATACATGCTCTTTCACCGCTCTAGCTGTGAAACGCATCATCATATGGCTGGTCGCGGAAACGTTATTCTATGAGGCTTTCATTGTCTCAAAACAATCATAGACGCTTGCGGCGATACGTTTAAATGACATCACAAATGCTTATTGACAGGTCTTCATATGACTGTGAAGTGCGCGGCCGCATGGACAGTGCAGCCGGTGCATGATGCACTAGGCGGCGTTCGGTGACGATGTGCAATATGTGTAACTACAATTGCAAAAAAAAAAAAAAAAAGAAACATAGCAAGCACTGCACTTGGTATGGGATTTTGAAGTGATGACGCGCAAAAATGCTAGCCGCTGTTCCGAGCAATCCTTGGCAGTGGAGGTGTGTGTGCTTGCGTGTGTAACAAGCTTGACTGGGGTCTGCTTCCTATGCGCAAAATGCCCGTCCGTGATTTCAAGGAGCTAGCGAGTGATGCGCTTCGTTGCTTGCGAAGAAGCACGTTCTTGCCCGCAAACTTCGTTCTCCCACCGTCAGCGAAGTTAGGCCTACAGACAAGTTCGATGATGCGCCGCGCTCGTAGTAATCTAAACGGGCCTCCACTTACAGACCTCAACTAAAGCGTAATTATATCCTAAGTGATCGTCGAGTCGTGAACACTCCACAAAGTAGCGATTTTCGACAGTCATATCTTCACAACGCACAAGCAGCAGATGATAATTTCTTGGAGCGAGCATAGGATCAATGGCGAGGCGAGCTGGGGCAACATGGCAGCTGCAGCCAACGAGGGGCCTCGAAACGACCTTCATACATTTGCTTTTTGTGCAAAATGGAGGAGCCAGTTTAGGCGAGAACTTTGAACACAGAGAAATGCTTTTTCTGATGAGCCAAGCCGGCTCTCGGCCGTGCCATTGGGAAGCTATAATTTTGTGAAAATCGCTGTTTTCTCACCATTTCCAGAAGAATTTTTGCCTAGAAGGGTGAAACAAATTTCCTGAAGCACTTCTGTGCCCTTTTTAGTGCAGATATTTTGAAATCAGATATAAAAAGGGTTCCAGAAACTGAAAACTTGATTTTCAAAAGGAAAAAAAAAAATTGCCATTTTTCATGATACGAAAGCCACGTCCCCCCTTAAACAACGTGGTCAAATCACTCCCATCACTATTTTAATAATAAAAAAGAAACAGCACATTTTCGGGCAGCCGTCACGTTCCAGATGCGATCGATCAATGGGCACGATTTTCAGCCCACCGTATCATGTACTGTAGCAGTTACTTTTTTTTCCATCTCATTGTCTGTAGCAAGTTATGACAGAGCAAACCAGGGCCTCACTTACTTTGCGCCTGTACTCCTCCATGTTTTGTTCATACTTCATCTTCTCCTCGTTTTGCCTCTCGACGTAAGGCCGCTTGTCCTCCTCCGACATGCCCCGCCACCTTTCCCCACCTGGGCACAATGAAGAGCTTCTCTGGTCAAATAAGCAGATATCACGCTGCAAAACTCTATAGCAAAGATGAGAGAGAGAAAAAAAAACTGCGACATATTTCATTATGCAAAAAATTTCGTGGTGGCACCACTCAAATTTACTTGAGAGCAAGGAAAACAGCATTATCGAGCAGATTAGTTCGTCAAAATAATGGTACATGGAGCATACAAACTTTGATAACAGTGTACTATACCAAGGGGAACTACAATTATATGTGCTCTGATTTTGTGACAACTTGCATTGTAAGACAAATGAACAATTTGCCTTCACAGAATGCAAAAGCTATTCTCCTGGTAGTTCATTTTCTGATGCAATACCGTGTTGCTCCCTTTTGTGATACGCCTCAACTGTGTAGTTTGAACCATGTTGGCTTGAAGGATATGAAGCTACTGAAGGCATGCAAGCTAGTCTTCGAGGTATGGACATTTTCTGCATTTCTAATTCACAGAAACTTTTCCCAGTTATTGTGCAGCCTTTTTGCATGCACTACTGCATGCAAAAAGACTTCACCGAGAACTGAAACATGCTGCCCTTTGAACATGGTCCCAACACAACGATTGATGGCAGCAGCGATCGGTGCCTCGGCACTCTCAGGTAGTCACCAGCCACTAAAGCGGTTTAAAGGTCTAAAGCGGCGCTATGCCACATGCGCAGACTTTCTATTGGTGGTAAGTCATACTGGCGCGCCTTACGGTAGTCGCCACATTGCCTTCGTTCTTCGGCAATGTTTATCACAAAAGGCCCCGTCGCAATGGCGCCGATTTCATGCTTTTGCAGCAGCACAACAGCATGTATGCAAATACAGCCAACACTTCCAGAACATGAATAAAGCAGCGCACCTGTAAAAAAAAATAATCACAGCTTTGCCCCAAAGGCGAAGCAATGAACGCGATGGCAACAAATTGGAAGGTCACGTGAAGAATGACAAGCAGATCCAAATGTGCCCTGCGTTTCGCACGCACGAATGACTCACGAAGTGTATTCACAGGTACAGATGAATGCGATTAAGCGGCTCAGTTGTTACTTCGCTGCGTCAGAAAAGCACGCCCTTTTCGCAAATGGAGACGGTGCAATGAGTGCAGTTACCTTTGTGCGCCCAGTAACTACAGTCAAACGCCTTTATAAAAACACTGATATAAGAGACACCAGTGTGCCTACAGTAAAATACGGGTTGATAGGAAAATGCATAGATGGTACCCTGCTTCTAAGAGACATCTCATATTAAAGACATGAATTGCTGCCTGGAGCATGCCTCTTATAAAGGGGCTTAACTGTACAACAGAATCGTTCCATTGAAAGTCCAAGGCGTACGATTGTGCCCACAGCGAAATAAGCGGGAACACACTCAAGTGTCCACCCCTCTCGCCTTGGAAAAGTACAGTCACCGGCCGATTTTTCGGACCTGGCAAGGACCGAAAAAAAGTCAGAAAAATACATTTTTGTCAGAAATATGAATTTTATTGCATCAATGCTCTTCGAAAAATCTTTTTTGTTTATTTCTTGTCATAGACACTTGAAAATTGTTATTCATATAGCTTTTCATGTAGATTTCAAATATGCAATCATTTTTTGTGTAGCTGCTATAGTTATCGAGTTACGCCATGCACAATAGCAAAAAGTTACATGTTTTGCAGGTACTGTTTCATGTACTTAACTTTCAGTAAAAGCATTGTCTCTGATCTTATTAGACCCTTGGTAGATTGTAAAGTGCAAATATCTATCCAGATATGTCACAGAAATATTAGAACCAAGGGAAAAAAAATCGTATTGAATGACTAATTATTTGCAATCTCCCTTGAAACAATAACCTAATATTTTTACGACTAATACTGGTAGGCATTGCAATTTCAAGTAGATATTTGCATTCAGCACGTGTTGAAGAATATGTGTGCCAAGTGTTATTATACAATTAGTGTAAGTGTGTGAAAAGCTGACCGGAAATTGGGAAATTGGCAAAAGAAATGAAAATGAGAAAAACAAGTTTGAAAGTATAGAAAGTTGGCCTTTAATAAGAAACTATTTTCTTTGCATCAAATTGGGGCACAATGAAAAGCATCTAGCACTGAATGCTCGGAAGACCGAGAATCACACAGAATTGCGAAAGTTGGTCATGGCCTGTGCCTATAGCACGTGCTGCCAGAACTGCCTTCAACGTTTACAGCAAAGCTATCATGCGAGCTACTGCTGTCAAAACGAGCGTTTGTCCCTTGGTCCCTGGCCGAAGTAGTACGTCTCGACGCGTGCGTGAATGAAAGTGTAGACTCCGGGCAATCGTTATTTTCACAGCACAGTTCGTGGAATGCCGAGAGTTCTTTGCGCTTTCCAGCTACCTCGGACGCCGAGTTCCTATTCGCGGCAGGTTGGGCGTTGCGCACCCGCTACAAGGCAGTCAGCGCATCGATTTCGCAAAGCAGTGTGTTGGCAGTAGCAGCACCTACTAGTCTACGTTCACTCTCGAAGAATCCTCTGTTCATTTGGGATGGACTGACGAATCCCCCGGCAGCGGCTATTTCACAGCCACTGTCCTTGCAGGGTTCGTTGCCAGTTAGGCCTATCCGAAGTCGGGACGTTGATCGGCAGTGACATCTGCGTTCGCTGTCGCTTTGGGAAGCGTCCGACGCCGTTCCCCTCGATACTTGGGGCGAGTTCTAAACTTTGGTTATCTAGACTGCGCTTTCAAGGCTTGCCATGATGCAAACTGCAAAGAAACACCGAACAATGCGATCGCGACGTCCAAGACTTCGCTCTCTTTGCCGGAAGGGTAAAAGGGGGAAGAGCGCACCGCTGACCAATGGCGGCCTCGTGCTGCTTGCCGTGATATTCAAAACGCGTAACATATGCGTTGTTTTTCTTGTTTTTGTTTCATTCTTGGTGAAGATACAAGACTGGCTACTCGTCGATTGTGAAGGGAAAGGTCTTCGCAGCATGCGTGCAGGATTGCAAATGGTGGCCAACACATCGTTTTCGCGACAGGACAACGCGAACTATGCCTATTTTGGCGACGTTCGCGCATTTCTCACGTGACCGCTCCCTACTTAGAAGCATTTTTAGATCATTCCTCGTGCGAATTTCAACTTGATATTTTCAGAAGCAAAAGGTTATAGTCCAAGGATGCCAATACAACCGGGGGAAAAAAAAAAGCAAGAATTTTCCGGAAAACCGCGACTTTTCGACCCGGGTCTTCCCATAAAATAGTCCATGATTCTGCCTTGCCTCATACTACGCTTGGAAGCAATTTGGTTTGCCCATATTTGCACCAAGGTGACATAGTCACCGTAAATGCTAAACAAAAGCGTCACCGCGATGGCGATCTCCGCTGCCGACAGCTGCGGGCGATCGTCGTCATCATCCAAACCGCTCTCCGGCTTTGGCACAACCTGGAGAAGAATTTCTTCGTCTGGGGGCTCCGCACACGAAATTGTCATCGTCCGCACGAGCGAAGTCTTTAAATAGAGAGTTTAATAATAACATTATCAGACGCTGCGGGCAATGCGGGTATAGCGGAGGCATTATGCGTTCTAGAATAGCATTTGCTCCCCCTAGAAGAAGGTTTAAGGAAATTCGCCCCGACCGCAAACTCAAATGCACGGGAGCTACACACAACACTTCGCGGGCCGTGGTCGCCGCACGCTATTTCGGATTTTCTGCGGGCAGGTCGCGAATGGCGACTCATGCGCAGTGGCAGCAACCGCACCGCAAGGGCTCGTGGTGCGCTATTCTAAAACTCCCTAATGTCATTATGGCAGGCACATTCACTCCACTACTGCGCAGCTCCGCCTCCTCCCTGTATGGTACGATGACGACAGTGCTGACCACCACGGCTGCCAGAAGACCAAAAAACGGTCCCGTGCTGAGTTTTTTTAAAGCAGACACGGTCTCCGAAACTTCAAATCTGACGATTGCTTTCCAATCTTGGAGGCAGGAAAGCCATTTTAAAATTAAGCCACTAAGCTTAGTGAAGCCGGCAGAAAATTCAACATGGCGGCGTCCACACAGGTTCGTAGCGGCTCAAAACAAGCGATTTAGTCCTAAATGTCCAACTTTAGGGGGCGAATTCGTCCGAAAAATTAGTCGAAAAAAAAAAAAAAAAACGCATTAGCCCTATGGGAACCCTGACAGTGCATTTATGAAGTTCGAAATATATCCAACAAAATCAGTCGACGACTGTATGCGTGGGAGATGAAAGCACGCGCCGCCGTGTAATGACGATCTGGCGATGCCCGCTCACAGCGCCATCTGGCTGATAGTGTTGAAAATAGGACAGTTCCCCCAAGATGGCCATCGGCAGCGGTAAGTGATAGATATAAATATCTTGTAGTTTAAATGTTGAAGGAGGTTCTCCGTGTCTAAGAGGCTACCGCCTTGCACTCACAATTCAGAGGTCGGACATTCAATTCCGCGCGCCAGAGTTTTTTCCTTTCTCATGTTTTTATGTACAGTGAACCTCTTTACAAGAGTCATGCTCTGGGCAGCAATTTTTGTCTTCTATATGAGATGTCTCTAATAAGCAAGGTACCATGCATGCATTTTATTGTCAAGATGTATTTTACTGTAGATACACTGGTGTCTCTTATACTCATTTGTCTCTTATAAAGGAGTGCGACTGTATACAGATACGTATACATATACGAGTGAATGCCGCTGACTTCGGTGGCTCCAGCCGAAAGTGTTCCTATAATTGCAATCGCAATAAAATGGCGACCACCACGTAATATCCCCTCACGACACATGCTTTGAACATTACCGTATTTACTCGATTCTACCGCGCCCTCGATTATAACGTGCACCAGATTTCCACCGCAAAAAAAAAAAAAAAAAAAAAAAAGTAAGACATCGATTGCAACGGGCACCCATTTTTCTCGTTGGCCTGCACGATCACACTACTCGGGAAAACGACTCCTTTCGGGAGCGCCTTACATTTAAAACCGAGGTGGGGGGAATCTTGTGCCTATCTGACGTGCAACATAGCATTGCCGTCACTCTTGTTTTACTGTGGCCCGATGTCAGCACGCGAACTTGCTTCGCCCCCTTCTTCTTGACGGTTGTGGTGCCAGGCATGTCGAAGTAAAGAGGCGTCTGATCGGCATTCCAGATTTGCCCAAGCAGGTAGCCGTTGTTGCGCCGCAAGTTTAGGACGAACGCCTGAAAACTCTGAAGCTTTTCATCGTACTCCACCGCAAAACTTTTCGCATATGCATGTTCCCCTTCGGAGGGAAAATCTTTTCCTCTTCATATAGTTAGCCAGCACCTGCTCGCTTTAAACTGGCTCCGCATTAGACCTTCTTCTAAGACTAATTGCATAGCCCGCACTTGGAGCAGTTCTGTCGTCACGGGCCGCTGTGCCGCTCGCTGCTCAAGCACATACTCGCCGAGCAGCTCTTTATTTGCGGAAACCGACCCTGCTGTGGTCCACAGAAGCCTTTGCGTGAAGCTTTGCTGTCAACAATCTTCTGCATTTGTTTCCGCCGGTCCCGCACGCACGTTTCGGGAACTCCGAACGACCGCGATGCGGCCCGATTTTCGTCCGTTTCTGCACACGCGATGACTTTTCTTTTAAAAGCGGCATCGTGGTGCACTCGAGGTTTAGGAGTTGGCCCTTCCACGTCGTCGATGCTAATGCACTACTAGATGACGAACTCCTCAGCACACGTACGAAGTGCCGCACATGGGAAACACATAGGCAGAAATGGCCGACGCCCCATGCCGACGCATGTAGGGGGCGGCCATTTTGGATTTGCCGATGGCAATAGATTGACCGTAATTTTTTTGTTCGTACTCGATTCTAACGCGCATGCGACTTATGAACTCGCTTAACCGGAAAAAAGGTGCGCGTTAGATTCGAGTAATTCGGTACTTTCAAATCCAGAACGAAGTTGTCGCGCAGTGATTTCCAGTTGACGTGTGTAGAGAGCATTAAGGAAGGAGTTTGATGGCATTACATAATTCATATGCTGAACAGTACCAGACAGCCCAAATTATTTACTTTACAAATTAATGAGCATTTACTAACTTCAGTAACAACAAAGCCAACATGCACCCTCTCAAACGTAGGCATGAAAATCAGGGTTAGGTATCACTCTACAACACTCACCCAGTTTGGCAAGTGCAGCCACACCGCCCTCAGGCTCCTTGCCGGCCATCTCTTTCCGGAAGTCGCCCATGAAGAGCATGAAGGCTGTACCAGGGCGCTTAGGCTTGTTTGCATCTCGTGCTGGCTTGTACACCGCCATCTGTAGATATTCATCATAACATGCAACTTGACTGCAGGACACTCTTTACTGCTAGCCTGTACTGAATGCATCTGATACAAAAGACACTCTTGAGATATTTGTGCAGTGAATATTGCTTATAGTAGGCTTAGTCAACAGCAAAAATCACACGAAGTGGTACAGTCAAACCCCACTTTAACGAAAAATTCTTGGTTGTTTTCAGCAGCCCGTAGCAGTCATTGCATAAATATTGTAGCCACAACAAATTTTTTTTGTCGTTCCACTTTCAACAAAACTTGACGATGCGAATCCATGCAGCAATGCCATGCAGTAAACAAAATCTTCAACGTTTTGATGCATTTTTCAGAACATGAAAATGCGTCGCCGAAGTCTTGTTCCAATGAATCTTCCTAGCTCAATTCTTCAGTACATAAATTTTGGCCTCTTTCTTTGTTAGCTTATTTAGTAAATGTCTACCTAGAACAACCAGAGCTACAATTCCTTTTGCACAATGTAGCTTTCTATCAGGAACTTTTTTTTGCTGTCGTTTGTCTCACGAACCGTGAACTAAAACTGGATTCTTTTCAAAGAAAAAATATTAGAGTTAGTTGACCATCTTGTGCCGCTGATCTCTGCATCCAACGATAAAACTAACCCTTGGTTTACTAAACTTCTTCGAACATTACGAAATAAAAGAAAACGTTTCTATGATACCGCAAAACGCATTGGCTCTGTGTCCTACTGGGATAAATACAAGGTCTGTTTACAAGACTATTGTAAAGGCTTAAGCACAGCTAATAAGAAATATTATTTGCAGGACTTGCCGTCTCTTCTCAAAAATAACCCCCAAAAGTTCTGGCAAATAATTTCACCCTACAACAAGTCTCCTAATCACATTACAATACACGATAATGAACTAACGCTGCTTTCTGATGAAGCTTCCGCTATCGCTTTCAATGAGTATTTGGTTTCCGTTTTTACACAGGAAGATTGTTCCAATGTGCCATTCATTCCAGATCGCCCTTTCGCTTTAATGGCCCCAATCATTGTCACTGCCGAAGGTATAGCCTAACTCATCACGAATCTTAAGGTTTCTACTTCATCAGGTATTGATAACATTAACTCTAAAATACTGAAGAACACCACAGATATCTCCAGGCATTTCCTCTGACTCCAGTCGCTATCATCAGGTGAGCTGCCCAAGGATTGGAAGATTGGTAAGGTGATTCCCGTATTCAAGTTTGGTGACAAGCACTCGCCCTGTAATTATCGACCCATTTCACTTACATGCATCTCTTGCAAACTACTTGAACATATCGTGGCTTCTCATATCTACGATCACCTTGAATCAAACAACTTCTTTTTCTTCCATCGGCATGGCTTTAGAAAAGGCTACTCATGTGACACCCACTTGAACATATCGTGGCTTCTCATATCTATGATCACCTTGAATCAAACAACTTCTTTTTCTCCCATCAGCATGGCTTTAGAAAAGGCTACTCATGTGACACCCAGTTATTCGAATTCACGACTGACCTTCACTTTGATATGAACACTAACTAACAAACCGTTTGCCTCTTCCTTGATTTCACCAAGGCATTCGATACTGTCCCTCATTGTCGATTATTCTCTAAATTGGCTGCACTCCGTATTGATTCATTAATCCTGTGTTGGAAGCGATACCACAAATACTTTACGAGAAACAAATTATTTCTTTATTGAACCATGTGGAGGGGCTGAGCATAATGTCAAAAAAAAAAAAAAAAAACAGTATTGAGAAAGCTGCGTTCAAAGTTTCAACTTTTCTTTACGTCTCTAAAACACCTAAAAATTGTGATCTCAGGTTTGTCTTGTGATATTTGACTTATTTTCATGATTTATCCCTTTTCATGATTTACAAAGAACAAGTATGGATTTCAAACCAAGTTCTTTGTATGAAGGAGTGGTGTGATAGGTATGACAGAAAAGATTGTAATTGAATAAAACCATAGACTGAAATTATTACACATACTTTTTGTGCTGAAGTTGTAATTAGCATAATTAAGTACTTGATTACAAATATTCACTGAAATTTTCTTTATTTGGAGAGAGGTTTATTGCATCAGAAAAATGGATCACACCATGACGGCCTATGCCTGCTTTCTAAATAACAAAGTTATGGGCAGAAGACTGGTGGCACGGGAATTTCTAGCAGTATAATTATTGACACGAAACGGGCATATAAAAATTCGTGCCCCCGATTCACACACGCTCTTTCGCCGCTCTAGCTGTGAAACACATCATCATACAGCCGGTCGCGGAAACTCTAATCTACAGCAAATCATTAACCTCGGAACATCCATAGACGTTCGTGGCGATATCAAGCACAGCTCCAAGCACGTCTGAATCGCATCACAAAAGCTTATTGACAGCACTCCATATGGCCGTGGGGTGCGCGGCCGCGTGGACAGTGCAGCCGGCGCGCAATGCACTTGCCGGCGGCGTTCGATGACGATACGCGAAATGTGTAACTACGAAGACAAAAAATCGGCACGCACTGCACTTGGCATCGCATTTTCGAATGACGACGCGCGAAACTGATAGCCGCTGTTCCAAGCGATCCTTGGCAGTGAAGGGGGGGGGGGTTGACGAGCTTGACTGTGTTGTCCGCTGCCTAGCGTAAAATGCCCGTACGTGATTCAGAGGAGCTAGCAAGTGATGTGGTACATTCCTTGCGAAGAAGCACGTCGCCAAGAGTGCGCTTGCGCGTCCTTCCTGTTCGCAGTCTCGCTGTGAGCGGAGTTAGGCCTAAAGCCGACTCCGATGACGCGCCGCACTCGTAGACCGCCGCGCGCCCGCTCGTAGTAATCAGATCGTGCATCCGGTGCGGCCACTCCTAGGAATCAGATCGTGCCGCCGCTTACAGCTTCGTTACTTGCGAAGAAGCACGTCGCCATGAACGCGCTAGCGCGTCGCTACTGCCCGCAGTCTCGCTGTCGGCGGAGTTAGGGCTAAAGACGACTCCGATGACGCGCGGCGCTCGTAGTAACCTGATCGCGCATCCGCTTACTGCTCGTAACTAAAGCGTAGTTATATCTTAAGTGATTATCAAGCCGTGAACAAGTCACGAAGTGGAGATTTTCGAGAGCCATGTCCTCGCGACGCACAAGCAGCAGACGACGATCTCCCGGAGCAAGCATCGGGCCAATGGCAAGGCGAGCTGAGGCAACATGGCGGCCACGGCCAATCAAGGGCCTCAAAACGACCTTCAAACATTTGCTTTTTGCTCGCTTGTTGTTAAAGGGAGGAGCCCGCTGAGGGGGAAAGTTAAACACGGAGAAATGCTCTTTCCGATGAGCCCAAAAAGCCGGCTTCCGGCCCAAGCATGGCGAAGCTATAATTTGTTGAAAGTCGCCGTTTTCTCGTCATTTCCAGAAAAACTTTTGCTACCTAAGTGGGTGAAACGAATTTTCCGAAGCACTTCTGCGCGGTTTTCAGTGTAGATATTTTGGAACCAGATAGAAAAAGGGTTCCAGAAACTGGAAACTTGAGTTTCAAAAAATCAATTTTTATGCCGTTTTTCGCGATCCCAAAGCCGCGTCCCCCCTTAAGATCGGTGCACACTGGCAACTCGCGACCATTTGAACTGGCAACCAAATAGCGAGTGACGTTCACACCGGCAAGGCTGCGTGCGAGCAACCGGAAGTTGCGAACATGGAGAGTCATGTCCAGATCTCATCATCAGCAAGAACTCTAGAGACCGGTTTCCGATCAGCTGATCCCCACCAGCTGAGTGAGCGGAGCGAACCGAGCACACCGTATTTATTGTTTATGAGCCATGACAATCTCTAGTTCTTCGCTTCAATCGAACTCCTTAGCACTGCTGGGAACATCCAGCAGCGCCAAGGAGTTCGATTGAAGCGAAGAACTAGAGATTGTCATGGCGCTGATGCGCTATGCCATGGCGTCCGTGCTGGCAGCACAGAAGCCTCCAAAGAAAAAAAAAGCCGGTGGTGGGTGTGACCATCCCTTCGCTTGCGAGAGTTGGCCGGCCATGCAAGCAAGCTGTTTACCTCCCAAGCTGCGCGGAGACGACGAGGAGTACTTCTGAGAGTGGTACGTATTCAGAAACATTCTTTGAATTTACCATGACTTGCACAGCCTACAATGCGGCAAAAGCGTGTCCCAAACGCGCTGCATTGAATGCGGTGACAAGTCAAGCACGAAAAAAAAAAAAAAAAAATGAATACGGGGAAAGGATAGTGCACAATCCATTTTCTCTTTATTTTGACGATGTTCAGCTTTTTGCGAATGCCGCCGCATAAATTCGACACTTTGCTCGAGCTGCTGCGCCCCACCATCTCTAAGCCAAGTACTCCAAGGTGGCCATGGCGCCACAGACCCAGAGGAACGCTCTCGTTTGTATCTGGCGGCAAAAGGCCAGTGCAATGAAAAAAAAAAAAAAAAAAAAAAGGAGCCTGCATATCATGAAATGCTGGCGTCACTTCTGGGCATCGTTGATTGGTTCCAGCAGGTTTGCGACTGCAGTCCCGCGACTGAAAAATTGCTCGAGAAGCGACCAGTCAAAGCAGTCGCTTAGCGATCGTTCGCAACTGTTTGCGACCAGTCGCAAGTGGTCGTGCAACCGCTGCTGGTCCCCGGTGTGAACCAACCATTAGAGTGCCTATCAGGCGGTGACTTTGCTCTGCGGCCAGCAATGCATACTATCACCCTCTTCCGCCCCCTCCGCGCGGTGGACGCTATCCTGCTTCAGCACCACGAACACACGTCCCACTCCCCTGTGCTCCCTTTCGCAATTGTTTTTATAGAGTCATGTGTTTATTTTGTTATTTGTTTTTGGTTCTCCTTTGTGATCATTTTTCATTAGCAGCAGTAACAGGGCTGGACTGAGGTTAGCTGTCGCTCATAGCACTGTCATTTTAACTGCATGGGTGACGTCCGGCTGCCCTTTGCAGACTGGCAAAGGGCAAATTTAGGAGAGGGGGATGTGGGAATTGAGGCTAGCCCACTGCCTTTGCGCGGGCTTTGGTGCCTTTTCTGCCGTTCTCATGTCTCGACATGTCTGCCTTCCTTTGCTGTCTGCCGCGCTGGGAGAGAGGAGTGACGTTTCACTCCCTCACCCGGTAGCGGATGTTGACTGTGGCGCCACGCGCGGAGTCTCTCAAGAGGTTTTCGCGCGCTGTGTCGGGAGCGGACAGATACTCTCCGGGACTGCGAACGGTGAGCCACGCAATCTTTTCAGTCCCTCGACTCCCGTCGCTCCGGGCTCGTCGGACTTCGCTGACGGCGCCTCGCGCCCGAAGGGCGGTACGGTGTCCTATTGCGTGGCCTAGTCAAAGCGGAACTGACTGGATTCCCAGAGAAGGCAAGCGGGTTAGGGGGGAGACAAAAAGCTAGGCCACGCACTAGGACACCGTACCGCCCTTAGGCCGTGAGTACGCAGTGGGGCAACAAAAGGTGAGCGCTCGCCTCGGGCGCGCCGTCAGCGAAGTCCGACGAGCCTCGAGCGACGGGAGTCGACGGACGGAAAAGATTGCGTGGCTCACCGTTTGCAGTCCCAGAGAGTATCTGTCCGCTCCCGACACAGCGCACGAAAACCTTTCGTGAGACTCCGCGCGCGGCGCCATAGTCAACATCCGCTACCGGGTGAGGGAGTGAAACGTCTGCTGTCTCCTTTGCTGTCTGCCCAGCGCGGCAGACAGCAAAGGAGGGCAGACATGCCGGGACATGAGAACGGCAGAAAAGGCGGCAATGCCCGCGCAAAGGCAGCGGGCTAGCCTCAATTCCCACAATACCAAGACATGGCGCCAGTTTACCGCCGTGCTTAAAAGAAAAGTTATTGAATTCCCGGAATCGAATGGCAACATGGCGGCGCAGAGGCAGTTTGGAGTGTTTGAGAAAAGCGTCAGGTACTGGTACTGGCGCAACCAGAAATCCTAACTGTTGGTATGTAAAGCCTGGAAGACGTTTTGCAGTTACTGAGCTGTGCACCCAGAACTCGAGGACTAAGTGGCGGATTTTATCTGCGAGTACCGTGACAGCTCCCTGCCAGCAAGTGCGGAGCTCATTCGCACGAAAGCTGTTGAGCTCGCCCGTGAAGCCGGACATAGTCAAGCGTGAATGCTTTGAGTGGGATGTGCATCACTTTCAGGCAACATTGAGCAATACGAGTTGAGTGAAGAATTTAGGAATCCATTTACTGGGTCTGCCGCTTCATGCGACGCAAACAGTTTGCCTTTCGACAGCGCAAGTCAATCTGCCAGAAGCTGCCTGAGAAGTACGAGGAGAAGTTGACAGAGTTTCAACTTTACGTGAATAGCTTCCGGCAGCAGCATGGCTACATTTTAGGCCAGCTCGGGAACACCGACAAAAAAACCGGTGTGGTTCGACATGCCGTCGTCCACAACAGTCTGTGAACGCGGGGCAATAGAGGTGAATCTTTTGTAGGCCGAAAGCGAGCATCCGGGCTTCACCGTTATGCTTTCCTGCATGGTTGACAGCAGAAATTTGCCCCCGTTCATGATTTTGTAAGTGGAAGACGCTGCCGAAAGAGAAGGTTACACGGACGAGGCTCTAATGCGCGAGTGGATCCGCACAGTGTAGAACCGGTGGCCCGGAACCCTCCTGCAGCGCCGGAACATGTTCATGTTGGATGCATTTCGCGGGCACTTGACGGCATCAGTAAAGGAGATACTTCGCGACAAGAAGATTGATCTTGTTGTCATTCCGGAAGTGATGACATCAACAATGCAACCGCTGGCGTCGTCTTTAACAAACCTTTCGAAGACCGCGTGCATGCGCTGTACACTGAATGGATGGCTGGCAACAACCCGTGAGCCCCAACAGGCCGGATGCGCAGGTCACCTCTCGCTACAGTTTGTGCTTGGGTCTCTGAGGAATGGAGGTCTCTGGCTGAAGAAATGGTGGTGTGCGCATTTAAGATGTGCTGCATCAGCAACGCTCCTGACGGCACCGAGGACATGTTTTGGGAGGCGGCTAGCGAAAGGCTTCGGAGGATTTAATAGAGTGCATCAGTGAACAATTCCATGTACTTCTTTTTTTGCTGCTCAAGGCAAGGGGGTCGACCTATATTCCACTTTATACGGTATATTTGCTCTTGTTATTTCGTAGATGTTGTGTATGTCTTCCCATAAATCTACCTCACCCATAATTTCACCTTCACAATTTTCAGCCACTTCAGCCACTCACCTCGCGCTTGTATCGCTCACGGTCTCTCGCGGCAGCGCTGAGGAAAGGTTGCTTGTCTTCGTCTGACATCGTGTTCCACTTTCCGGCACATTCCTTGCCGAAATCCCCAATCTGCAAAAAGAATAAATGCATACTACCATGTCACCCTTTGTGTGCAGCAGCAAAGCGATGAATACAAAAAAAGACATGTCTGTACGGTGGCCTTTGGGATGACAATGCAACTCAAATGTGTTATTCAATGGAGAGGACTGGCTGGTCACCAGAAAGTTTTTCTGTATGTATAAAATTTGTTTAATTAATAAGCAGCTTACTTCTGAACTGAGTAGTGAAACTTTTTAACGATATACTTAAATGCCACGGACCAAGAACTGGTCTGTACAAGAGGCAGGTTATGAACGAAAACACATGTGATAACATAGGAATATATCAAGAGAAATGGAATTGAGAACCCGTACTAACAGAACACATAAAAGTTAACATGGCAAAATATTACATGAAATGGAAACAGAAAACAAATTAACAGTTCATATGTTAGCTCTAAACAACAGAAAGTTGGCTGAGATCAGTTAGAAATTTCCAATCAGGCACAGTGCACGGAAAAAAGGAACATTTAAAGGCGTTTGTTTTGGGCAAAATATGGGGTTAATGAATGAGCGTGATCACGTTGTGTATGCTTAGTGGACAGAGGAGATACATATGCACTCGGGTCAAGGGCTAACTAGTGATTAACGAGAAGATAAAGTTAAGGTGGTTGTTTTTTCGCCGCGATGAAAGTATTTCAATATTGATAGGAGCCATTAGTTCGATCGGCGAGTCCGTGAGCGAACCCAACAGCCTTTCTTTGTACCGCTTCGAGTTTTCTTAATGTTAGATTCAATAACGGGGTCCCATACAACAGTAAAGTATTCTAGGTTTGGTCTTATAAACGTAAAGTAACTAAGTAGTTTTATGTTAGAAGGAGTTTGTGCTTTGGAAAACACAGGTTACGAAAGGCAGAAGAACATACATTGTCTATGTGGAATTTCCAAGACAGGTAATTAGTTATTGTCATGCCTGAATATTTGTACTTGTTTACCTGTTGTAGATGATGAGCCGAGGTTATAAGTAAAATGAAGGGGTGTTTTTAAACGAGTCATGCAAAGATAAACAGTTTTTTGTGCATTACAATGCCATACCCTTGTCCTAACATCAGATTGGTATCTTATTAAGACTTGAGTTCAGTTTCTGTTCATCATCAGAAGAAGTAATTTGAGTTCCTGGTAGTGGTATGTTTACAATGTTGTTAACATAAATTAAAAATAACAGCGGCCCCAGAATACTACACACTGCAGCACGCCTGATGTTACAGGAAGAGAACTCTAATTGTTCCAATCTAATGAAACTGTGAACGTTCTGATAAATAGTTTTGAATCCAGGACATGAACATGTCCGGTAGATTGATGTTTCTGAGTTTCGTAATTAATTTGTGATGAACATCTTTATCTACTTCCCTGCTAGAGTCAAGGAATATGATGCCAATTCGACCACTTTATCTGGAGTTACTGCAGATGAATGAACCACTGAGACTCACCATTACCGTTGAATAACCTTTTTTTAAAGCCATGGTGAAAATCAGTCAGTACAGAGTTTTGCTTGAGAAAATCCACAATGCGCTTGGATTTTACAAGTTCGAGCATTTTACACATTGGCGATGCTAATGAGATGGGACAGTATTTTTCTACAAGTTGCCTTATTTAAAGATGGGAACAACACGAGCCCTCTTCCAATCACTGGGTAGTTTTGCATTTAATGGCCAACATGAAAGAGCACAATGACAAAATTAGCAATACTTTTGGCATAACGGCGAGGAAAAACATTAGGGATATTGTCTGGACTACAAGATGATTTAGTATTGAACTTCAAAATCATTTCGAGAAGTGCACAATATGACAAAGTCCACTTCAATAAACTGAAATACTATTTACTGACACGTATGAAGACTCACCTCAGCAAACACATTATGAAAAAATTTGTTAAAATGTTCCGCAATGAGCTTCAGATCTGTAACTATTTCCATCGACTAATCTATGTGATACCCGCTTCTTACTATCACTCAGGAAGTTCCAGAACTTCGTAGGATCAGTTTTGAAAAAGTTTGACAGTGTTGTCTTAAAGTAAAAATCCTTTGAATCGTGCAAAGCACTTGCGAAATTTATTTTATAGCAACCCACAATCAATATTTATAGTACCCGTTTTCTTGAGTGCAACGAAAAGCTTACCGGTCAGAGCTTGTAATCGCAAATAGGTAACGCGGAAAACACCTTGGAACACTTATAATCAGAATTTTTCGAATTGCGGTGATTCTGCAGTCTTAAGGAAGCAAGCTGCAGACAGTGTATAGATCGTGATAGCGTTTATCTGCGAGTGTAATGGCATCAGTGATGAAAAGTGAAGCCTTAAGTACAAACCCGTAATGTTGAGTTTGTCAAGCTTGCAGTCCCGCGAACACTGCTTTCTGGCCTGTTAAATTATTTTACAAGAGTCACAGCACTTTCCAGGGACTTCTTATGCAAGTACTTTTGGCCGTATACGGTAGTATTTTTTTTACATTAGCCAAGTAGCCAAGTCGAGCCAAGCCAAGTCTTCGCAAACAAAACACCACGTTTACAAATGATTGACAATTCATGCATAGTAGTTCACGTGTAGTTGTAGATGGACGGCTTTGTAAATGTCATCACTTTACAACTTGAGCGCGTTCGAGGAAAGAATTTATGCTCGCATGCAAGCACAAAATTAGGACCCCTGAACGGGGAAAGAATTTACACTCACATGCAAGCGCAAAATTAGGACCCCTATCAAGAAGCCAGAGCAACATGCTTCGACGGACGACAGCGGCCGCGATGCATGAAGTGGTAGCAATTCTCCACAGAGCAGTAAGTTGACACCATTTCGGGTGCCGCAGCGATCGCATTCAGAAGCTCGCGTGCTTCTTCCAAAGCGCCCGACGCAGCGGGAATCGAGCTGCTCTGGAAATGCCGCACAGCAGTGCGCACGCGCAACTGCACCCGTTTCCCTGTAGAGGCCACGAAAGCAGCGCCACTTTTCATGCTCTACTTCCTTAACCTTTTAAGCCACATAGAAACAAACGAAAATGAACAATAACGTACATATTTGAAATTTAAGCCCATAGTTTGGTGCGCTTTAAATATTAACAGCAAAGTTATTAGGACTTCATATTTGTGTTCACGGCTCTCACGCTAGGGGCGTGACATGCCGGTTTTGGTTACTTTTAAACGCGATTTAAAAATATAAATCTAACCCACACCACGAAATGTATGCTGTCACCTGTCACCATAATTCACGCTCTTTTTCGTTCCATCGGAATCTAATCACTTGTTTTGACCAGTTGTGGGTCTCTTGAGGTTCATGAACAATAGATAATTAGGGATTGCTCTTTCAGCCATTTTATTTGCCTTTTTAGGTGAATAATTTTGCACATAATCCATGGGATGCTTTTAGCAATCTTTTTAGATTTGGTTGGTACAAATGATCATATGCAGTGATGGCACATTTTAGTAAATTGGTTCCATAGCCTGACAACATTGCCCTCACTTACAATAAATCAATTGTGACAACTTTCGATATACTGCACAAGAGGCGCATCATCAGATCTTGCATAATCATTGAAGGTTCAAGTGGTTGTGAGCTTGTGACCAGCTGAGTTAGATAAAGGAATAGTAACACTTACAAGATGATGATCAGAGAGACAACTTTCAATTCAACTTTCAATTACCTATGTTCATAAAAATTGCAACTTAGGAACAACGCCAGGTCCAACATTGCACTAGACGAACCTTGTTCTCCAATAGGCTGCCTAACCACTTAGACTAGGTCGTGAGTAAGCAAAATGTCAAATATTATGTAGGCAATTTTGTTCGATTTGCGGCTTGCTGAACGAGTTACCAATCAACATTTGGTACTTTGAAATCCCCGATAACAAACACATCTTTACTCTGGAAATGCGTCATATGCTCTTGCAATTTTAGTATATATTCAGGAGCGGTGTCTGGTGGTCTGTAACACACGTAAAGCACAAAGCATTGATCCCAACAATTTATTTTGATACACAAAAACTTGAGATCAGTGACATCTGCTAAAAAAATCGCTTGTGTTGACGGCTTGACAAGGGTAGCAACAACTCCCCCCTTATTTGACTGGACCTTATGAAAGACACTAACTTGAAGGGATGATGATGATGCTTGGTGCTTTGTGACGCAAGGGCCAAAGAGCGCCAGTTCATGGGACAAGAGATGTGGACAATGATTGTGATTAGCGGCTGTATAAAGGCCTTCAAATTCCTCGCCCTAAGGCAGGTAAAAACATGGAAGTGATAAAATCATGACCTTGCCCTGAAAAGTGTATGGTGTTAATAGATGACGAAAGTTTGTGATAATAAAAACCATGATGGACATGTATGGAATAAGCACCAATGCCTCGATCGTACACACCCTTGCGTTCAAGGGCCGTGAGGCACGTGCTTTGTTGAGTGTAGCCACTGCAGCGGAGACCTCTCTGGAGAGGTCGTGCTATGGAATGCCCTGGTATATGATATGAAAAGAACAAACTTCTCTCAAAAAAGCTAACAATGATTTATGTGTGAAAAGTAGTTCCTTACCAACGAACATTGCAGGATGAAGTGGTATCTGTTGTCGGTAGGGTATTGGAAAGTGTTGTCTTCTTAGCGTGTCTAATTCTTTACACTGGATCAGAATGAGAAGTTCGGTGAGTGCTTCTCCACATCTGTCACACAAAGGTGGATCGCCACCAGACAAAAGAAATTACTGTGTAGTGTATGTATATCCTGTTCTTAACCTTGTAAGTATTACTTCTGTGCGGCTTGATTTTCATGCTGGCAGCCAATGACCAAGTTGCGACTGATGATGTGTACATTATTACCTGTGTGTGTGTCCCATGTGCTCTGAATAACCCCTGACCTTTCGTTTTAGACGAGGTTTCAAGTCGAGTGCAGGAATCGGTATCAATGTATTGGTAGCGGTTTAGTTGGCGGATCCAGCTAGCAGGTCCACCAGAATGTTGCCTCGTATTTCACGGTGTCCTGGCACCCAACAGAC